CAATAGAATTAAACAATTTGAAAATTGTTCATTTTTAATTAATTTCTTTTATCTGAATTTCTGAGAAATGGAGTTATCATCATCTGTGTTATTTACTCGCGTGATTCTGCTATGGCTCATTTTCCTTTAGGATATTAGCGATCATGTTTCTCCACAATTTCCTGTCCTTTCTTAGTTAATTTGTTTTTTTTTTTTTTTTATTACCCCTAAGCCATTAATCGGCAATCCACGCTAAATCAGGAAGATTATAAATGTACATGTTAGCACTTCCAATCTTCTTTTTCTCTATGCGGTTTTCTTTCAGGACTTTGGCGATCATGACTCTCCACATTGCTCTTACCTTTTGCAGCTTTTAGTAAAGGTTGTATCTTTGCTATCTTCACTAATCCCCTCTCTGTCAATCATCTGCACAAGCCCGTTCGATGGATTTTGCGCTGGTTCCAACTGCCTCTCTTGCCTTCAATCTGTCCTGTAAGTATCAATTTTTCCAAGCTGCCTTTCCTCACTATGTCCCCTAGAAAATTTAACGGTCACTTGCTGATGTTATTTATAAACGTTCTTTTTGTTTCCATTTCTTCCATAATTGTGATGCTGCTCACATGTTCGGCACATGGTATTCTCAGCATCTTTCTGTAGAGCGACATTTCTGTTGCTTCAAGCTTTTTCTTCTTCATCTGTGAGTAGATTGTCCAAGATTCACTGATATGTAGAAGGCATGATATTACAAAACACGTCTGTACTTTTTTCTTTGTTACTAAGAAACTTGCGGTTAATTGACTTTCAGGGGGCAATGAACCGCATGTACATATTATCCATTAAAATAAATATGGCAGAGCCTACAAAATAGCTGAAAGTTATCAGATATTGGAAGATTTGTTTTAAGTTTTAATCTGAAGCCAAGAAAATAATCCGAGAAAATAATCCGAGATATTGAAAAAGTGAATAAGAAATAATTACTTCACTTATTTACATTATTCGGACAGTTATCCTCATCTTCATTGTTAATATTCACAACCTTTCGGCCGTCGTACCCTCCGGCCTTCTTCAGGTAATTTAATTTATTTCAATCACCTGAAGAACGCCGGAGCACACAACGACCGAAACGTTGTGAATATAACAATGAAGATGAGGATAACTGTTCGTATAATGTAAGTAATCATAATAATTTATCTCAGAGATAGAGACAAAAAATAATTAACAAGAAACGTAACATTCGTTGGTTTTTAGTCAAAGTTGCATGAATTAAATTTTATGTTGAAATACACCACCCACGCACACATCTATCTATCTATCTATTAGGTTGGTGCAAAAATAATGACGTAATAATGTCGTTTTTTGACGTTAAAAAATATGTCAAAAAACGACATTATTACGTCATTATTTTTGTACCAACCTAATATCTATCTATCTATCTATCTATCAGGATGTTACAATAGATAAGGGGAATCATCATTTCAGCTTAAAACTAAAGTAATCAATTAGAAAAGACGTTTGACACGTGAGAGAGCAGTTTCAGCTATGATAGTCCAAAGAACAGTGAAAAAAGACTTGAAAATGCAATCGTACGTGAAATGTGTTAGACATTTTTTTATTCCAGGACAGAAAGTTAGAAAGTTATAGAGGGTCAAGATCATCTTCAATAAGTTGGAAAATAATCCTGGAATAACATATACAGATTGGACCTTTATTTTCATAATTCATGATTTTTCGATCCTTAGCTATGATTAATTAATAATGAACATATCATTTTCGTTCATGATCGATTTCATCACGATAATTCTGTTAAGCTTAGAGAGTACTTATACATTCTGCTCAAATTAGTTTACAATAGTGTTATGAAGGACATCGGAGAATTCCAGTAAGATAACTTTAATCATATCTAAGATACAACTGTTTGTAGCTTAATCTAACACCTGGACAGTTTTGCTGTTACACCCATATATATATATATATATATATATATATATATATATATATATATATATATATATATATATATATATATATATATGATGTCTCGATTACATTCGTTGTTTATAGCAGTTGTTGGAAGAAAATGTGTAGAGTGTGGTCGTCTCACCACACCACATAGTTTTCCTTATTGATCATGGTTTGTGCAGTAGATTTGGTCTAAGTACAACATTCCCCAGGTTTGACAACCTTCATATTTCCCAAGATCTATCGCATGCTTCTTTTATTCAAATTCAAATCCTACTTGAAAAAAATATTTTAAGATGCTGAGTGTGGAAGGAGGCAGATTTTAGCCCATCAAAGGCATCGACATTGGGTAAATTAATATTTAATGTGTGTTTTAAGGTATAACCTAGCCGAATTAATTTAATATTTTTTGTTTATATTTTACCACTTTTTTATTAAGTGCCCCACATAAGTGTAATAGAAAATCTGCGAAAATGGTGAAACATTGTAAGACACTGGGTGCAAATTTGCTGTGGATGATCTAGCAATTAAGGCTCTTTCTACACACTTTAATTTGAGTAAATTGCTTTCTCTTTTAATTGACTTATCATTTTATTTAAATTACTCAATACGGTGAGCGATTGATATATTGAATGTGTTGTTTTGTAAAATATTCCTTTTATGATCTTATATATATATATATATATATATATATATATATATATATATATATATATGTATGTAAGCAAATATATGGATATAGATCCGACAGTATGAAGAAAAATATATACGGAAAAAACAAACAATGAAAAATGAAAAGAATTCTATTTTGATCTAATTCAGCGTACATATAAATTTTTGATCAAAATAGAATTCTTTTCATTTTTCATTCAAAATACTCAAATTTTATGAATACGTTTTCACAGCGTCGCCCACGTGACGACAACGTGACCATGTTTTAAACGGAGCGCTGATCTTATAAAACTTTCAGTTATTTGTTTGGATAAGTCTTGTTCTTATGTACATCATCTTTGTCATGTTGTATTGATAATGTTATATTTATGAATATGTCCTGAAGATGGTTTATTAGACCGAAACGTCCGACGTTGACATATTAACATTAAAACATATAGCATAATTGTATATAAGGATTTTTGTTTGTTTTTTCCGTATATATTTTTCTTCATATATATATATATATATATATATATGAAGAAAAATATACGGAAAAACAAACAAAAATCCTAATATACAAATATACTGTTTTAATGTTAATATAATGTCAACGTGGGACGTTTCGGTCTATTAGACCATCTTCAGGACATATTCATAAAACATAATTAACATTAGACTATATTCAATTCAACATTAAAAGACGATGGACATAAGAGTAAGACTGATCAAAACAGATAACCGAAATTTTTCAAGATTAGCGTTCAGTTTCAATATGATCACGTCGGCGTCACGTGGGTGATCTTGTGAAACGTATTCCTAAAATAGAGTAATGTGATCTTACAAGGCAATAATGCCATTTAGTCGTAAGTGGTTATTGCAAATGAAAGAAGATTTTAGTGAGGAGAAATGACTGTAAAAGAACGAGAGTTAGGAATACAAAAAAATGCGAATGACGTTGCATTTAAATTTTTGAAGATGCTCGATGACAACCGGAAAGTGGAACACTGTTGAAAAGGAGAGAAATTCGAGAAAAGTAACTATTAATATAGAACTTACAGTTGCATGTAGCTATTTTAACGGTAAAATGATGAGACCCAATAGCCAATCTAGTAGAGCGATTGAATTCCTGCTATCGATATACCAAGCAGAAGAGCTCATCAAAATATATACGATGAAAATAAGCATAGTGGGTTTTTCAGTATATTAAATACGCAAAACAGAGGAATATCTCTAGTTGACTTTAAAAAGAAAAAATCAAAATTTAATATTAATTTCAATAAATTTATTTAAGAAATAATTACAATAGTTTTTTTTTTATTTAACTTAAAGGTTTAGGCATAAATGAATCATGTAATGAAAGAAGTAAAAAATAAATGCTGATTATAGCCCAGATATTCAATTCCAAACCATTTAATTATCTATTTGTCATTTAGATATTTTTTCAAGAAAGTAATACAAAGATTAATTAATAAAAAGTGTTGTTCTCGTTATTATTTATTAACTTTTGTATAGCTTTTAATAAAGTTGTTTATCAATAGGCTTATTTCGCCATTTTTCTAGATTTTTTTCGTCTTGATTTTCCTACAGTCGATTATTCGACGCTACTGGGGGACATTTAGTTCATATGGCTTGGTTTTTCAATAAGGCGGGCAAGAGTCTTGGAGGATGTCTGCAAGGCAAATACTCTTGGTAGATTTCAACATATTGATAAGTGATCTTGAGGATTTTGAGATGGGGGATATGAAAATATTGGCGGGGTTTATGGAAAACGGAATTTTAGTGAAGTAAAGTAGACGTAGGAATCGAACAAACGGGACGAGAAAGAAGGAAAGAAAACAGGGGATGTGAATTATTAAGAATTAATCGAATTGAAAAAAAAGCAGAAGAAATAAAGAGGCAAAAGAAAATAAATTAAAGAAAGCTAGGAAGGAGTATGTTTTAAAACACGCTCCTTCCTAGCTTCCATATAAAAGGTAGGAAATCGTAAGAGAACATGAAAGGCAACAGAGAAAGTCATTGGAAATTAACAAAACGATACAGACAAAAAAACAATGGAGCGGGGAAATAATAAAGAAATAATAAATGGATGATTAAGAAAAAAAAAAAACGTTTCGAAATATAAAAGCGAGAGGAAGAGGAATACGAAAAGAAAATATTAAAGGACAAGAAGAAAAAGTCGAAATGTAGACGAAATCTAAGAATAATATGTCATTATTAGACAGTATAAAATATGTTGAAATATTAATAGAGTAAAAAAAATGAATAATGTCTGAAAAAAGACGTAAAATTCAAGAATAGAAAGCAGAAACAGTGAGAAAAGAAAATGAATGAATAAATGAATGAAGGATATAAAAGAACGACAAAAAAGAGAAGAAAGAAAAAAAGGACAAAAAAATGAATAAAAAAAATCAAGAACGTAAATCCACGGGTGGAAGATAAAAAAAAATGAGGAAAACATTTCCAGAAACAGAAAAATGAAGAATGAATGACAATAAAAAATGACTAGAAAGAAAGAAAGAAAGAAAGAAAGAAAGAATGGATGGATGAAAGAAGGGACGGAAGGCAGGAAGAAAGAAAAGATGAAAAGAAAGAAAGAAGGAAAGAAAGTAAGTAAGAAAGAAAGAAGAAAAAAGAAGAAAAAAAGGATGAAAGAAAGAAAGAAAGAAAGAAAAAGCATGAAAGAATAAATAAATAAGAAAAGATAGGAAGGAAATAAGGAAGGAAGGAAGGAAGGAAGGAAGGAAGGAAGGAAAGAAAAAACAAGGAGTGGTTGAAAGAAAGAAAGAAAGAAAGAAAGAAAGAAAGAAAGAAAGAAAGGATGGATGGATGAAATAAGGGACGGAAGGAAGGAAGGAAGGAAGGAAGGAAGAAAGAAAGAAGGAAGGATGGATGAAATAAGGGACGGAAGGCAGGAAGAAAAAAGATGAAAAGAAAGAAAAGAAAAGAAAGAAAGAATAAAAGGAAGAAAGAATGACACAAAAAAAGAAAGAAAAAATGTAGGAAGAAAGAAAGAAATAATGCAGGAAAGGAAGAAAGAAAGCCAAACAGGAATCTTTCAAGTAAGAGTAAATGAATGAATAAATGGATGAATCGAGAAAGACAATAAAAATAAAAATAAAGTATAATCGAAGAATGGATTAGTAAAAAATGAAATTCCATAAAAGAAAAATGGAAAAAATGAAAGTATCGAGAAGGAAGAGGTAATGAGAATTTCCGAACAGATGAAGAAGAAAAGAAAAAAAAAGGATAGATGAAAAGATAGAATAAAGAAAGTTCGAGAAAAAAATAATGAAAAATAAAGAAAATCAGCAAAAAGAATCCAGGAAATAAATGAAATACATATGAATATAGAATATAAAAACAATCGAATGACAAAAATGAAAAATTTGAGAAGAAAAGGAAAATAAAAAAGAAAATTACGAAGAGAAAAGAAAGAGAAAAAGTGAATAAAGTGCATATAAAAAAGATATTCGAAAGTAAAAAGAAAAAAAAGAGAAAAGGTTTTGAAAAGACAAAAAGAAACAGAGGGAGGAGAGAAGAAAGGGGAAAAGAAACAAATATAAATACGAAAGAGAGGTTAATGAAAAATCAAAGGCAAAAAAGAAAGAAGAAAATAAGAAGAAGAAGAAGTGAAAAGGAAAAAATAGATTTTATAAAAGACAAAAGAAAGAAAAGAAAAGGGGCAATGATTTTTAAAGACGAAAGAGAGAAAAAAAGAGAAGAAAATGAAAATAAAAAAAAGATTTTACAAAAGACAAATGAAAGAAAAGAAAAGGGGCAATGATTTTTAAGGACGAAAGAGAGAAAAAAAGAAGAAAATGAAAATAAAAAATTTTACAAAAGACAAATGAAAAAAAGAAAAATGAATGATTTTAAAGACGAAAGGAGAAAAAATGAGAAGAAAATGAAAATAAAAAAAGATTTTACAAAAGACAAATGAAAGAAAAGAAAAGGGGCAATGATTTTAAAGACGAAAGAGAGAAAAAAGAGAAGAAAATGAAAATGAAAAAAAATTAAAGACAAATGAAAGAAAAGAAAAGGGCAATGATTTTAAAGACGAAAAAAAAAAAGAAAAAATGAAAATGAAAAAGATTTTATTAAAGACAAATGAAAAATGATTTTAAAAGACGAAAGAGAGAAAAAAAGAGAAGAAAATGAAAATAAAAAGATTTTACAAAAGACAAATGAAAGAAAAAAAAAAGGGCAATGATTTTTAAAACGAAAAGAGAGAAAAAAGAAGAAAAAAAAAAAAAAAAAGATTTTACAAAAGACAAATGAAAGAAAAGAAAAGGGGCAATGATTTTTAAAGACGAAAGAGAGAAAAAAGAGAAGAAAATGAAAATGAAAAAAGATTTTATTAAAGACAAATGAAAGAAAAGAAAAGGGGCAATGATTTTTAAAGACGAAAGAGAGAAAAAAAAAGAGAAGAAAATGAAAATAAAAAAAAAGATTTTATAAAAGACAAATGAAAGAAAAGAAAAGGGGCAATGATTTTTAAAGACGAAAGAGAAAAAAAAAGAGAAGAAAATGAAAATAAAAAAAAAGATTTTATAAAAGACAAATGAAAGAAAAGAAAAGGGGCAATGATTTTTAAAGACGAAAAAGAGAAAAAAAGAGAAGAAAATGAAAATAAAAAAAAGAAAAATGATTTTTAAAGACGACAGGAAGAAAAAAAGAGAAGAAAATGAAAATAAAAAAAAGATTTTACAAAATACATAAGAAAGAAAAGAAGAAAAATAAAATTAATATAAAGTAGATGCCGAAAAGATAAGTAAAACAAAACAAAAAAACAAAGAGAAAATATTTCAAAGAAAAATGAAACAGAAAAAGGTGAGAAAAGGAAAAGCTTTTAAAAAGACAAAGAAGAAAAAGAGAAAAAAGGAAAAAAAATGTCAAAATCAAAGGAAAGATATAAAGAAGATAAGAAGAATGAACGGAAAAAAAAGTTTTCAAAGAATGAGAGAAGAAAAAGAAAGAAAAAATTGACAAAAGACAAACAGTAGAAAAGAAAAAAAAAGTTATTTTGAAAAGACGAAATAGAGAAAATATGAAAAGGTAAATAAAAGGGATTAAAAAAAAAACAAACAAAAGAAAGTTGGAAAGAAGAGAAAAGGAAAAAAACAGATTTGAAAATAACGAAAGAAAGACAGAGGATGAGAGAAAGAGGGTGAGAGAAAGAAGAGGAAAGAAAGAAGAGGAGAATAAAAAGTGGAGCGAAAGTAGAGGAGAGAAAGGAGAGGAGCGAAAGGATAGGAGAACAAAGAGAGAAGTGAAAGGAGAAGAGAAAGAAGAGGAAAGAAAAGGAGAGTAAGAAGAGGATAGTAAGAAGACGAGAGAGAAGAGGGAAAGAAGAAGAGGAGAATAAAAAGAAGGAATGTAGAGGAGAAAAGATGAGAGAAAAAGAACAAAGAGAGAAGGAAAGGAGAAGAGAGAAAAGAAGAGGAAAGGAAAAGGAGAGTAAGAAGAGGATAATAATAAGAGGAGAGAAAGAAGAGGAGAGAAAGAAGAGGAGAGAAAGAAGAGGAGAGAAAGAAGAGGAGAATAAAAAGTTGAGATAAAGTAAAAGAGAGAAAGGAGAGGAGCGAAAGGGTAGGAGAACAAAGAGAGAAGTGAAAGGAGAAGAGAGAAAGAAGAGGAAAGGAAAGGAGAGTAAGAAGAGGATAGTAAGAAGACGAGAGAAAAAGAAGGAATGAAAAGGAGAGTAAGAAGAGGATAGTAAGAAGACGAGAGAAAGAATAGGAAAGAAAGAAGAGGAGAATAATAAGAGGAGAGAAAGAAGAGGAGAGAAAGAAGAGGAGAATAAAAAGTGGAGGTAAAGTAAAAGAGACAAATGAGATGAGCGAAAGAGTAGGAGAACAAGGAGGGAGAGAAAAGAAGAGGAAAAAAGGAGAGTAAGAAGAGGATAGTAAGAAGAGGAGAGAAAGAAGAGGAGAGGAAAGAAGAGGAGAGAAAGAAGAGGAGAGAAAGAAGAGGAGAGAAAGAAGAGGAGAATAAAAAGTGAAGCGAAAGTAGAGGAGAGAAAGGAGATGAGCGAAAGAGTAGGAGAACAAGGAGAGGAGAGAAAAGAAGAGGAAAAAAGGAGAGTAAGAAGAGGATAGTAAGAAGAGGAGAGAAAGAAGAGGAGAGAAAGAAGAGGAGAATAAAAAGTGAAGCGAAAGTAGAGGAGAGAAAAGAGATGAGCGAAAGGGTAGAAGAAGAAGGAGAGGATAGAAAGAAGAAGAGAGAAAGAAGAGGAAAGAAAAGGAGAGAAAGAAGAGGATAGTAAGAAGACGAGAGAAAGAAGAGGAGAGAAAGAAAATAATGGAAAGACAAAACATACCAAAGAATTCTTAAGTGGCAAGAAGAGAAACAAATTCGTATCTATAACACATAAGAAAATGCTATCGAGCGCATTGTTTCTATTTTGTGGCCGGTTTCCCAGGCCCAGAGGCAACGAATTTTGCCTTGAGTGGTTTGAAACGTAATAAAAGGCAACATTCTTAATTGATAATAAAATGGAAGTAAAGAAAAAAATAATTAAATAATTACTGGAGTACGAAGAAAAAAAAAATTAAAACAAAATACGAAAAATGGTATTATTTAAAAACAAATGAAGAATTTTGAACTATTATTTAAAATATTCTGTTTGCATTTTCTTCCTCCGTCTCCCTACCTCTCTTACACACATAACATCTATCTATCTATCTATCTATCTATCTATGAGTGAGTGTGTGTGTGTGTGCGCGCGTGTGTGTGTGTGTGTGTGTTCGCAGGCGATGATTGGTGTGAATAAAAATGTTTAGTAATTTGCTTAGGATTTAATAATTTAGGTGGCTGATAGAACCTAATACGCCCAACTAATCACACACACACACACACACATATATATATATATATATATATATATATATATATATATATATATATATATATGGGCATCAACTCTTTCTTTCAAATGTCTGTGGTTAAATAGTTAAGTATAATGGACAATACAATTTTATTAAATTTTTTCCAGCGTTCTTAGAATTTTCCGTTTGTGGGGAGAGGTGGAATACAAAAACTCTCCATATCGTCCATTGTTCCAAGCGCTTTTGGCTATTTCCTTAGCCATTTTAAAGGAGATTTTGCATTGGCGCTTGACAGTTTGCGATATATTTTTCGTGTTGTTTTGAATACGATTAAAAGTGTTTATTCTGAGTCTTCATATAAAGAGTATTTGATCAAAATGAAATATACTTAACCAAGTACCTTAGGAGTGATTCCCTTGTTCAAATTTAAATTTAATTTATTTCAAAGGGGAAAAAAACTAGTGGGGAATGTTGCAGCAGCGGATACGATGACCCCCATTTGACCAAAATAAAATATACTTATCCAAGTACCCTGGGTCATGTAGTTTCAGAATATATATGGTTATGGGGGTCTATCTCCAAAACCCTAAAAGGAGTTCGATAACAGACAGACAGACAGAGTTTGCAACTTTATATACACACACACACACACACACACACACACACACACACACACACACACACACACACATATATATATATATATATATATAAAGTGAACATTGAAGTCAACACTTAGAGACAACACGCTGTTTCATGCAAGACGCAATCGTCAGGCCTGTCGATTGCGTCTAGCATCAAATAGCCTGTCGCCTCTAAGTGTTGACTTCAATGTTCACTTTTATATTTACACACGCTCAATCTCTGATATTGAGCACTTTATTTCGTAAATATAGCACACCTTAAGAATATATCTATATATCTATATATATATATATATATATATATATATATATATATATATAAGATTCAAACATGGTTATAATTTATTACATTGGAATCCTAATCACGATCAATTCATCAGACCCACAAATTCAAAATGGGTTTTGAATTTGTAGGTCTGAGGAATTGTATCGTGATTACTATTCCAATGTAATAAATTATAACCATGGAATATTAATGTTTGGACTTTTTTTTTATTTATATTATATTCTTGGTCTTTACTGGCCATTGAACTCTACCAGTATTGTATCCTCTTGAAATTTATACATATAATATATATATATATATATATATATATATATATATATATATTGACTACTAATATACACAGACACACACACACACACACACACACACACAGACACACACACACACACACACACACACACATATATATATATATATATATATATATATATATATATATATCGTCGATGTTAACAGGTTTGATAGTCCTGAGTATGACGATAAACTACATTCGGCAGTTATGACAGGGACATTGTAGTTGTGAGGAGCGTGAAACCATCTCTTAATTGATACTGTTTTCATATCCTGCATTACCCCGGAAGGGAGCACCTGTTATGGTCCCACCTATGGGCGAAATGTGACCCCCAGGAAAAAAAAAAGAATCGTTATGCAAGTATAAAGAAAAATTTAAATTAAAAAAAAAAGCCAAAAATACATTTTTATATAAAAATATATACTTTCAATACATTATTAAAGAAAAATTCCAGAAATACATTTCATATTATAATTAGTAACATTTTATAGAAACGTCTGCAGTTGAAGGCATACAATTCCGTTCGAAATAATTAGATTTCGGTATTAATTAACTTATAGAGGTTGATAGCCGCTAAATTCAACCAAGCAACCAACATGAATTAACTTTTTCATGATATTTATTTATGGAATATCCTACAATTTCTTAAATCAAACTGTATTCCCAAATATATCTTCACGAAAATGGCATAAAGACACAACATCGCCTCTTGCAATTATGTCCACACCAACATGTATATGCATAAAAGCTGAGTATCATCTACCATGTATTCAATTGTGAAAGCAGAATAACATAACATATTTTTATTGCTTTAAAGCGCTCAAAAAATTAAATTTCGATATTAAATGCTGTGTTGATATGCCGTTAAACAAATCAATCGAATACACTGGAGCAACGTTCCTTCATAAATAATAGAATATTTATTTATAACTAATAAAGGAATATAAGAGGAACTGATGAATTTTGGAAAAGCAAGGACTTGGTATTCACAATCCGTTTCTTATATCATTTATACCCGTTTGGGCACCTAAAGTCGGTAATGGTTAGCAAACCTTTCTCGCTAGAACAATTATGAATGAGTAGTGAGTTCGATCCTCACTGGGTGGCACATACTTTCGGCCTTGTGCCACATCTAAGCTACGCTTGGAAAATCACTATCATTTAAACCCGTTCTTTTATTGTCCTCTTTCTTTCACTCCCAGTAACTCCTTTTCAACTTAGTGACCTTTCCTCGGATGAAATAATGAAAGCAATATCTCCTACCATATATGGGTGACGCTTCGTTGTTATTAAGGAATTTCAGGACAGCGATCCCCCACATTTTTGAGACTGAGTCTGTCGATCAGATCGTCTAGTACGATGTTTTGTTTGCCTCCTTAAGCATCGCCCAAAGCCACTCTTTGCTAGGGCCATTCGTTACTTTGCGATTAGTCTCCGTGCTTCGGGGAAAATTCTTAAGCGTCGAACGCTTTTCATTATGCTCTCCACAAACTTATAATTAAATAAAGTTTTAAATTCGAAAATTTCTTTCTACATATAACTTTATTTTTTTTTTATTACTTCAAACGTTATTCTATTCGGAGACAGCTGTGTTTGAATAGACGCCCCGTTTTTTTTTTTTTAAACATTGTACAAAGATGCGTTCCAAAAGTTAAGCAAATTATTAAGAGATAGAAAAACTTCCCTAGAAACAAAGAAAAATGTACTAAACTATTACCCGATGTCTACCTGCATGGCACTGACTGCTGGAAAATCTTCTCAAAGATGAATAGGAGACTTGTGAGCAAAATAAATGTGGTTCTACTGAATGATGCTGAGTATACAATGGTCCAAACATGTCTAAACATTTTAAAGAAAATGAAAACAAAAGTAAATTTATACTTAACTTTAGAAAGAGAGAGTTGAGGTTTCTAGGGTATATAATGAGGAAAGAGGGCTTGGAAAATCTGATACTCACAGGACAGATTGAAGGCAAGAGAGATAGAGGAAAACAATGCCTAACATCAAGTGAGCTTGAGTAAATGGATGACTGAACATGGTTTAGGAAAAGTAACAGACAATATTTATTAAGAGCTGCAAGGGACAGGAAGTTGGGGCGAGCCATGACCACTCACGACCAGAGGGGACACAGCACAGAAAGAAAAAGAAGACATTACATCAATATCAACAGCATTTATTGCTTCTGTAATTTATGTTGAGGAAGGACCAGACGGAATGCAATCAAGACCCCAACGGCGGAATAGTTCTACACGATCTCTACGGCCCAACCGGCGGAAGAGAGCAGCGCCAGTCGGACTGGTGTAACCAAGGCGGACTTCACAGACTAAGCATCCGACAACTCGATGCAACCTGGATTTCTGGATCTCATCTGTCTCAAAACCCTTTGAACCGCGATAGAGGCGCTTCTGGCTAAGTGTGTGGGTTCTCCATCGCGTAGAGTTGTCCACCAAAATCAAATTCACGAGAAAGGCATCATTAAACTCTCTTTGACATCTCCGCCACTGCCACCAGGGACGAAAAAGGGAATAGGATGATGATGTCGATGGTCGGATGCGAGCGGGTGCTGACAAAGTTCTGGGATATTTTAAGTCGAGCTGGTGGTGAGTGTCGGTTTAATATTAATAGTAACAGTGCTGGATTTCTGGTACTATATGAATTGATACTGCTATACTCACAGGTCAAATAAAGGGAAAGAGTGACAAGGGAAAGCAGTGCATTACATACCTGGCGAGCCTGAGCAGGTGATGAAGAAGAGACTCGAAGGAATGGAGATATGGTTCTACAGAAGGATGCTAAGGATATCATGGACCGGGCGTTTGAGCAACGATGGAGTTTTGTAGAGGGTGAAAACAAGGAGGAAGCTTATACTTAACATCAGGAAGAGGCAGATGAAATTTCTGGGAGAGGTAATGAGAAAGAAAGGCTTGGAGAACCTGATACTCACAGGTCGAATAGAGGGAAAGAGAGACAAGGAAAGCAGTGCATAACATACCTGGTGAGCTTGAGCAGGTGGATGACAGAATGCGGTCTTGGGTGGGAGCAGAGGGAAGGAATAGCAAAGGAAAGAGGCAGGTGGAGAGCCATGATCGCTTACGTCATAAAAGGACATGGCACATAAAAAGAAAGAAGCGATAGAATGTTTGATCATAGATTTTGGGGGACTTTTGAAGACACAGATATTTTCAGTTTTCTGCTCATTTTCTTGTAGACTATTTTGAAAGATAATCACGTTATCCCTCTTCTAACATGACTAATCCTAACACACCTATGACGCACTTAATATGACAAAATTACTCGAGATCTGCCAGCGTCTATTAGTGAGAGAATGTCGCAGTTAGAGTTTTCTTCACACCTTTATCTACCACTTGAATTGCTCCATCACCTTCTTGTACTGTAACTAAGGTCTGCTCATCATAGTTGCAGTATAAACCACAGGTGCGTACCGTGGTTGATGAACAAATACACATGTGCCTGACCAGGCGTCTGCAACAGGGATTAGCTGACCACCCTATCAGATGGGCCTCCTCGGATACGAGTATCCAGCCATTTTATTTTATTTTATATTATATATATACAGATGATAAAATATAGTTTGGGTGAGTATTTATGGGTTAAAGTGCTCAATATTAGGGATAGAATTGTGTTGATATAAAAGTGGACATTGAAATCAACACCCACCCAGATGTGACAGTCTGTTTCATACTTAACGCAATCATCATAACCATTATATATATATATATATATATATATATATATATAGTGTGTCGGTTTGTAAACAATGACTATTATGGCTAATAATGCAAGACTCTTCGGTAAATTGAATCGAGTTCTTTCAGTCACTAAAATAAATACACTTAAATTCACCTTCATCTCTGCCGTGCGCCAACGGCTTAGTGGTAGAATCCCCGACTGACTAGCTAGCTAGAGGTGACCGGACGTCTAGCTCCGCTGATGAACTGTGTATGACAATATATATATATATATATATATATATATATATATGAGAGCTTGCATCATTCCCCCCCAATATCTCTCTCTATATACTCTATGTTTTGAATTTACACTCCAATAAAATATTGGGTTTATATGAGCTTTGAATTAGCGTATAATTTGGCATTCCTCCCATGGGGGCCAGTATTTTTAAGAAACATCTGTAATAAACGGCTTAATTATCATTTGTGCCTGACGACTTGGGAAATCATGAAATTTTAAGTTGCACTATAAACGTAGGTAGATCTGTATTTATTAATATATACTTCATAGCCCTGTTTAACTACATTGAGCATTGTTTTGTTTGCACCATAAATTAAATTAAATAAATATTTATTTGCTTAACTGCGTATGCACGCTATCGCACGCATATATACAGTTGCGTATATCTGGTTATTTATTTTATATTCATACTTCATGAATAAAAAGGCAAGAGGAAATATTATGTCATCATAATTTTTCCTCTTGCCTTTTTATTCATTCCGTTCCTTCATAGATACATTCTATTTGCACACACACACACACACACATATATATATATATATAAATATATATATATATATATGTGAAAAGTGTGTGTATATAAATATAATATATATATATATATATATATATATATATATATATATATATTATTTATATATTATATGCGCGGTACTTATTAGAAAGCGCTCAATATCAGAGATAGAGCTAACATATTTGGTTGCATTGATGTGAGTTTATGACCCTGGGTTTCACGCTTTTGCGATCGACAGACAAAGTGATTAATTTTAAAAAAATTTTGGGTTGATGTAGATTGCGTGTATTCGTGTTATTATGGAAGGGGTGGGGGAAACGTCGTCGTTGTGTCATCGTACAAACGCAAACATCGATGTATGTTCATACGCCTAATGGAGTACGCAGACACGACGAAGTATGTATATGTGTCTGCGTACTTCATTAAAAATTAATCAGTTTGTCTGACGATCGCAAAAGCGTGAAACCCTGGGTCACAAACTCACACAAATCCAACCAAATACATATATATATATATATATATATATATATATATATATATAGTCATCAGCAAGCAGACTTTCACTGTATCACAGTTAATGGGTGCGGCTGGATATCTGATTGCTTCAAGCCCGGATCGAAACCTGACTGATTCGGTAACAGTCGGAGATTTCCACCCTAAGCCATCGGCGCAGAGTTGAAAGAAAGGCGAATTATTACGTACTTATTCTGTGAATAAACACACCAATGACTGAAAGTGCTCAATTCCGGAAGGGCTTATCGATGTACGTAGGTAGGTAGGTATGCAAAACATACCTTTCTATATGGAAGAAGTCCTTTGAGAGCGCCTGTCATAAAGGGAAGAAACGCTATGAGGACTGCGTAAAAGATATGTGGACAGCAAAGGCTGAGGAGAGAGCGCCGTGGTAGGTTGGAATCATTAAGCCGACAACTGAATATGAAGCGTGAATATAATCAGAGAGAAAAGAAAAATTGGCAACTTTAATACTTGCAGTAAATAACAATCCGTTTTCATCTTGTAATCCCTCTAATCTCTCTTGACCTAATTTACAAGAAGGGATCAAATTGCGATCAAATCAGAATTCATTATTCGCGCCAGATATGTGCTAAGAAAAATGTGGTAAATCTTATTCAGTCTAAAGCTTTACATGTAAATATTTCAGGCTGCCGAGTTAGCAGTTGTTACCCGTATCAACAATACGGTAGATGACTTCGAACGTATATACATAAATATCTCAGAGGACTTGAAAGTCATTTTAGTAGACATGTCAAGTCGGTACCAGCCGTACAATGATTCCTTGTTTCCCTGGCATCATTTCTAGTCTCTTTACAAGCGAAAACGAGACTTACTCGATAATAATTCGATGGTCCGTATATTTCTGTGAGTTTGACAACTTCTACCCCGAAATTTTGAAACTCTGAAAGCAATACTGAAGAGAGTATGGGACAAAACACTTGTGGAAACTGCGTGCCGCCATCAATGACTTTCCGGAAAGACCTCGATATGTGGTGAATATTCAAGGGAGCCATCTTTAATTTGTGTTAAAATTGTATGCTGATGTATTTTTCACAAGTAGTGGGAAATAAGAAATAAAAAAAAGAAAAAGAAAGAAACTGATAATGTAAAAGAGAGGAAGAAGGAAAGAAGGAAAAGACAATAGATAATCGAAAGAAAACGTCTAGAAAAAAAAGAAAAAAAAACGAAGAAATAAACCTGAAATAGTGGGAGAAAGAGAGTGGGTGAAAAATAACGAATAATTAATGGGAGCGAAAATAAGCTGAAAAGGAGAAAGTTGTAATAAAAGAAGAAGCTATGAAGAAAGAAGAAAAACTAAATGAAAAATAGAAAGGAAAACTGAAAGAAAAAGCAAATAAAAAATGAAGAAAAAATGAGTGAGAAAATATGAAAAAGAGAATGCAAAAAGAATGAAAGATAGAAGAAAATAAAAATGAAAATAGAAATGAAAGTAAAATTAATCAGAGAGAATAAAACAAAGCAAGAAATAAATTAGAAAGGAAATCAAAGAAAAGAAAAAAAGGAAAGAAAAAAGAAAACGAATTTAAGAAAGAAGGATAAGAAAGGTAGAATGAGATGAAGGAAGACCAATAAATAAAAAAAGATAGGAAAATAAAAATGGCATAGAAAGGAAGAAAAAAAAGAAAAAGAGGAATAAAGAAAAAAGAATGTATGTGAGAGAGACAATATAACGGAAAACTAAAAATAAAAGAAAGAAAAGAAACTAAAATAACGTAAAAGAAGATAAAAAAGCAAGAATGTAAAAAAACAAAAGACAGAAAGAAGTAAAAATGGAAAGAAAAAAAGAAAATCAAGAAAAGAGAATATAAGACAAAGCAACACAGAATATTTAAAAAAAAAAAAAAAACAGCCAAAGAAGATACAATGAAAGACAGAAAAGCATAAGGTAAGAAAAATAAAGGAAAAAGTCTTTAAAACACATAAAGATTGTAAAACGCAAAGAAATAAAGGAAGATAGAAAACTAAGAGCAAAAGAAAGACGTTTGGGCGTATATTATGTTACTGAATTGTAATTAAAACCTGCGTAAAATAGCTGGCAGGTTACCCGAGGGGCGAAACCCTTCAAGTCTCATGGCGTTCAAAACTTTTTTTTTTTTCTCAGGAGTAAAGATTTTTTCTTATTTTAAAGAATTTCTTTAAGGCTCAACATCAGGCATTCCTTATCAATGACCCCTGGTGGTATCGATGATATTGCCGATAAGAAGAAAATCGTTGTTCCACCAGCAATATTTTTTAAAACTTGCGATGACAGTGGCGATGAAAACGCCTAAAACTATTACTACTACTACAACTACTGCTGATATGAGGACTTATATCGTTATTAAGGCTGAAAACAAAAGACATCAAAAATAGATTAACAATTGTAAAGCAAAAACCGTAATAACAGCAATAATAATAATACTTACTACTAACTCGAAATTATCAAGCAACCATACTGAAATATTGTATTAAAACGAAATGCAGAATCTATGATGAATATTTAGAAACAATTGACCATCATGTGTCAGGTTGCATGGTAGCAGCCATTTAACATTAATGTCGGCATGACAGGGTGAGCCAATATTTGCACAAGAAAGTCTGCCACTTTTAAGGAAAAGAAACTGTAAAGAATTGGTATGAACACCACCAATAGCTGGTTACAGAAACAGAAACTGTAACAATTATATACGACTTTACAATTCACGCAGAAAGAACAATCAACTCTAATCGGTCAGACATCGGGATCAAAGATCACACAAACAAGAATGGGCTTTCGTATTGACGTGGCAGACCCTTCAGACTGAAAAGTATCTTTGAAGAGTTTAAAAAACAAACAAAACAAAATCTGTTTAAAGAGAGATGGTTGGTAGGACTTAATATATCAGGCAACCAAATGCGGAAAAATTCTTCTTTGTCAGTCATGATGTGGCAATCTAAAAATGTAGCAAATGAAGACATTAATAATTCCAGTTGTAGTTGAAATCCACTGCTTGATTGAAAAAGGTCTCGATAGACTCAAAGAAGGGAACCCTGGTAGCCCATCCCTTAAATACAAAAATATTATCACAAGTAAAACTCACACCTTAAGAAGAGATTTATCTATGTAAAATGTGTGTTATCTTGTGTAAGCCATTTCTAACCTTAGTTCGCTGCCTGGGGCCCGGAAGAAAATGTGTATACAACAGAAATCAAAGGAACTAATAATAATAATAATAATGATGATAATAATAATAATAATAAAAATAATCAAAGACCACAAAACAGCATGTAGTTTCTCATTAAGATATCAGTTCATGGAAGCTGTAATATGTCTTTCAATTTCTTAAACATAAACTGTCAAAATACAAGGATCTTAAAGCGGAATCAAAAATGTTTCAAAGAAAGACATGAATAACTCCAGTTGTGGGTGGAGACTTCGGTGTGATTGAAAAATGTGTCGATATACTCAGTAAAGGGAACCCTGGTAGTCCAAGCCTTAAAGAATTCCAAATAATTATTCTTGGAAGTACAACACACAATTAACGAAGGGCTTTATCAATGTAAAATGTGTGTGTTCTTATGTTCAAAAACGTACAGGGAAATATATCATTTCTGACCTTAAGTCTCTGTTTAGGACCCGGAAAGAAATGCGCATGAAACAGAAATCAAAGTCTATAATAATAATAATTATTATTATAGTTATTATTATTATTATTATTATCAACATCATTATTATTATTATTTCAACTCAGGACCAAAGCCTCGCAACTAGATCCTATCACTATAACATAATCATGGATGGAACTAGCCCGAAATGCAGGATCTAATATGATAAAACTGTCGACCATATTATATCAGGATGTCTACAACTGGCAAAAACAAATATAACAAGGTTATGACATATGTGTACTGGCAGATGTGCTAGAAGTACAAAATCGGTTCTACTGGATACAAAGCAGGAAACATAACATACCAAAATTGCGCAGGACCAATGCTTGCTAACTAAGAATTATCAAGTACATATACTAAAATATTGTGTCAACCCAAAATGGAGATTCTGTGATAAATATCCAGAAACGATTGATCATCTTGTATCAGGTTGCACGATGTTGGCACCCACTGAATATAAAACCCAACATGACAGAGTGGGCCAATATCTGCACTGGAAAATCTGCAACTTCTACGGGAAGGAAACTGAAAGAAACTGGTATGAACACCACCCAGACCCGGCTACGGAGATAGGACCTGTTACAATTCCATGGGACTACACAATAAACACTGACAGAACAATCAAGGCCAACCGCCCAGATATTGTTATTAAAGACCACAAACAAAAACGGTGCCTCCTTATTGATATGGCAGTCCCTGCTGACTGCAATGTATCTTTGAAGATATTCAAAAAGTTGCCAAAATACAAGGACCTTGAAATAGAAATCTCGAAAATGTGGCATATGGGAACATCAACAATCCCTGTTGTAGTTGGAGCTCTAGGACTGGTTGGAAAAGATTGCAGTAGACTAATTGAAGGGATTCCTGGAAGTCCATGCCTAAAGAAGATACAAAAAATTGTTCTGACAAGTACAGACCACACTTTACGAAGGGCTTTATCTATGTAATTTTCTTTTTTGTCAGTGGAAAGTGTCATGACGCCATTTCTAACCTTAGGTCCCTGGGTGGGACCCGGAAAGAAATGTGTAAACGCCAGAAATCAAAGAAAATAAAAATAATAATTACCAAATCAAGCATCAATCGTTATTTAGCATCCACAATATCCTAATCTGTATTACTTACCTTTACATTTCTATCCAACACCTCAATTATTAACTCACTATCTTGAGTGGCTCCTCAGCCTAGGATTGGTTGAATATTTGTAATTAAAAAAATTATGCTTAAAAACTAGCGGTTTTAACTCCAACAAGTGACTGCAGTATTCAGCTAGCTAAAACTGATTGATCCATACCATTGTATTAGACAGTCGCTTATCGTCCGTTATCAAACCACTGTATTAATCTGTTAATGCTTGTCTATTTATGCAACTGAAGAGCTGCTTCAGGTGCACATTTTGTGCCATTATTTTTGTTCCTCTGAGTGGCTAATGTTTGGTCTGAGTCCAGCCTATTGGCCTGACGTGTCTGAACATGCCAGAGGATTAACTCCTGCTAACTTAGCTCTCCGAATTATGGAAGCACGAAAGTCATTCCACTATGTCAAGGCACTTAATCATGGAGTGGAAAAGTCTGAGGGTATTACTGCGAGGATTAAACCTGGATTACCTGGAGCGAAAGATGTGGCTCTAAGACTAGATCATCACATATCATTCTCTTTAATTTTTTCAGAAAAATAGGATTTCAAACTTCACTTTTACCAGTCTTTCTCGTAGAGATGGGAGTTTCCTTTCAAACCTTTTGTTTATAAATATCTTAATTGAAATACATTCGGAGAGGTACAAAATTTGGAACAATAATAACAGATTTTATAAGAATATTCATAATAAAATTGGAGTGGAGAAGAAAATATATATTACTGCGAATTCCTGTTATCGAAATATAACGATTAAAAATATCTAAGCTCTCCTCAGAGCAAAAATTGAGGACAACCCCACTAATAAATATGTACAAGTAATGTTTTATACAATAAAAAATATAACATTAAATTCAAATTACATTTAAGCCCACCAACTACTCCTTCTGTTTAAAGAAAGATGGTTGGTAGGACTTAATATATCAGGCAACCAAATGCGGAAAAATATTTTTCTTTGTCAGGCATGAATCCATGTATGGAACTTCACTGACATTATCGCTTCTCCCTCCTGCTATGGACTGAATAGCAGAACAGACTGGTCCCTAGAGCCTTGGGTGGCAACAAGTCTATCGCAGAAAGAAACGCAACCTACTGCGGGAAAATCTTCCACTTTGTCAGTCATGAATCGAAAGAAACATGATCGCCCAAGTCTTTATTACGCAAGACACCACCTGGGAATATCAGGTGCTGTAATCTTGGATGAGCAGGTGATGCAATGGATAAGGGCTTGAAATTTTTAATCTAAGAGCCAATTTCTAATTTCAGTTGGGTATGTTATATTCAGTTATGCGCAAATGCCCTTGGGAAAGGTACGAATCTATCTCTTCACCCCATGGAGCTATGGATTAATTAATAAGACTTCTATAATTAAATCAATATTACCATTCTTAGTATCTAACAATATTTTCTGGCTTTAAATAACCTGAAATGGGTTGATAAGCCGTCTGAATTTGTAGTTGATTTTGTTTTGCAGCATATCAGCATCTCTATCGGTTATTTAATACCGAAATGTAAATATTTTAAAAAAATGATCTTTTATGATGTTTTCCTTAAAATGTATTGCTAGCATTTTTACTGATAAAATAGAAATGTATTGCTGTGATGGTCATATTGCTATAAAAATGTATTGCTGATGGTTTGCTGATTTTAATATAGAAATTATCTAAAAAGAAATGTATTGATGTTTTTCCTGTAAAATGTATTGCTAGCATTTTTAACTATAGAAATGTATCGCTGGTATTTTTAACTATAGAAATGTATTGCTGATGTTTTTCCTGTAAAATGTATTGCTGGCATTTTTAACTATAGAAATGTATCGCTGGTATTTTTAACTATAGAAATGTATTGCTGATGTTTTTCCTGTAAAATGTATTGCTGGCATTTTTAACTATAGAAATGTATCGCTGGTATTTTTAACTATAGAAATGTATTTTTTAACTGATGTTTTTCCCTGTAAAATGTATTGCTGGCATTTTTAACTATAAAATGTATCGCTGGTATTTTTTAACTATAGAAATGTATTGCTGATGTTTTTCCTAAAATGTATTGCTGGCATTTTTAACTATAGAAATGTATTGCTGGTATTTTTTAACTATAGAAATGTATAATGTTTTTCCTGTAAAATGTATTGCTGGCATTTTTTAACTATAGAAATGTATCGCTGGTATTTTTAACTATAGAAATGTATTGATGTTTTTCTGTAAAATGATTTTTTTCCTTATAAAATGTATTGTTGGCATTTTTATAAAATATAGAAAAATGTATTGCTGGTTTTTAACTATTTTTTGGTAAACTATAGAAATGTATTGCTGAT